TGTAGTACACTGGGCCCCAAAACCCTAATTATTCTAATTATCCAGGTCCCTACATTAGAACAGTAGCATTTTTATATGTGTTGGGCCATGATTTAACCTACTTTCGGGGTGTTAGTTTTTTTGCCTAGACTGTGCCGATCTGAGCAGAAGTTCAGAACAGGTGTCCCTTGCAGTCCTCGTGTAGAAATATCCAGGCGTATCCCAAGTCCCCGTTCATCACTATTCTAGTTGTCAAGTGTTGGGGTGCTCCCATACCGAACATGGCCTCTGATCGTAAACTAACTGGGTTTGCGGCTTAGGCTTCGCTAGAACCACAAACAGACCGCGCCAGCAGGTGAGACTGAACAGTGGATGTTGGCACCACGTGGCTTGCAGTGCCAGCTCAGATGAAAGGCGTGGCAGATGCTTCATACCGATACCCTTCCTCTAGCAGTGCTCCGAGAAGAACTTCATTTTGTCGTCAAAACCTTTGTCCAGTGGCGTCAGCCATCATCACCGTCTTCGTGAGCATGTGAGCATTTGACTGGTAACGTTGATGTAGTGTTTAGTTTATGTTACTCACCATGAAGATGATCACGGTGTGACGATGCGTGTGACAGAGATAAGCATATGATGCTCAGTCTGGCGATTTGACCCAAGGTGTGGTCTGCATACCATGAGTCGATACTATAGGGGCCTTAATGATTAGAATAAGGTTTGGGGTTCATTATACTATAACTATAATTGGGAATCCCCAAAACCCTATTGAAATTATCAAGGCCCCTACATTACTTCAGTCTGACTTGTCTTCGTCTTGCTGCACGGTGCATTGGCATCAGACCAGACCTGCTTCCTAAACCCTAAACCCTATAAACCCTATAAACCCTAAACACTAAACCCTATAAACCCTATAAGCCCTATACCCTAAACCCCAAACCCTACGGTTATTTATTATTTTTGGAGAAGATATGAATATCAGGTACTGGGACTTTACGGGCTTTCCGACAAAGCCCACAGAAGGCCGCGGAAATAAACGAAATAGTAGCAAAAGCCATACAAGATTTCAATCCGGATGAAATGTTTGCAGGAGGCTTTGGTTGGATTACCAGCTGCTTGCGCAAGTTGGGCCCAGTGTCTTGGCAGCCTAGCTTGTGTGGCCTGGGGTTTCGGGCTTAGGGGTTAAACAGGGGTGTGGTGTTTTGTTTGGACGGCATATCAGGCTTTCGCAAGGTCTTGACGGATTCTGTTGTGGTAGTTGCATGTTTACGGGTTGCTAGATTGCTTTAGGGCGACATGGCTTCTGGAATTTGGGGTTTTATGCTTCAGTCCTTCGGCAGATCAGGGTATCAGGGTATGCAAGTAGGCTCGGCATGGGCACACGTGGCGCAATGACTAAACATTTAAGGAACTACATACCTAATAATCATATACCCTCCCAAATACTGCCTACAAATCTACTATCCCAAACCCAAGTACACAATCTCAGGTGATATGTAGGGCTTATGGTTCCCAGCTGTTACTTTAGGGTTTAGGGTTTACGGTTCAGGGTAGTACGAAAGAGTACTATGGAGTTCGATTTACGGTTCAATGTAGTTTTTCCAAAGATAGACTCTCTGAGTAGTAGGATCCTTGCCATGACGATTTGCGGAAAGATGATTATCAAACTACGATACACCTTGACGTGAGTGAGTGCTCACGACGTAACCAAAGGAGCCTGTTAAGATGACCCGGCAAATCCATGACCGCAAATTCCTTAGCCCCACATACCTAGACCTCACAACTGCCCGTTCATGTAATACAGGAACCTGATTAAGAAACCCTGCGTCTTTATTAGAGTTCTTAATATGAAAGGGCCAGGGTTTCTTAATCAGGTTCCTACGTGACCCAACATACCCAGGAGTATACTTTGAAGCCCCCAAACTCTACATTCGATGCCCGAGACCAGAGTAATGTAGAAGCCAGAATAAATTATATTATTATTTGTATTCTTTCGGGTTCCTTATTACAATATTAACAAGGAGCCCAAAACCTCATTCTAATTATTAATGCCCCTACATTACCCTTTAAGTCAGGCGACGAAGGCTGCAGCTGAGCTCTTGACGGCGCACAACCGAGCTCAGGAGATCGACAGCGACTTGATCTTGCATGACCCGCCCGTGTCGGAGCCGTCAGCAAGAAAGGCAAAGTTGACGTTCCAGAAGAACCCTAAACCCTAAACGGTTTTAGGGTTTAGGGTTTAGGGTTTAGGGTTTAGGGTTTAGGGTTTGGGGTTTGGGGTTTAGGGTTTAGGGTTTAGTCGAGCATCACGGAAGAGAGTCTGCAGTCGCGTCCGGGCGGCGTTTCCCTCAGCTTCTGGAGCGTCGTGGAGCTGCTCCACTCAGACTCCGATGAGCTCTTCTTGAGCTGCTAGCCGGTTTAGGGTTTAGGGTTTAGCATCTGAGACCTCTAGTATAGTGGTCTCAGTGGTCTGAATTTATACCACTAGGAGTATTCTTTAGGGTTCCTTATAGCACGATTGCTCCCCCGAGATCCTATTCTAGGTATTAAGGCACCTAATGTAGGGGCCTTAATAATTTGCTGTATTATTTTAGGGGTCCTTATTAGCATTACAGTTTAATGAGCCCCAAAACCCTATTCTATTTCTCCGAGCTGAGGTGAATCGGCAATCTCCGCAGACCTCCGTGCGGATGTGGGCTTCTACGAAGGATGGGAGTAATATAGAAGCCTAAATACTTACCTATATTATTTTGGGGTTCCATATTATAACTGTAGTATAATGGGCCCTAAAACCCTGCTCTAATTATGAAGGTTCCTGCAGCATGTAGACTTTCGGTTATGTAACTACAGCCGCTGAACTCTTTTCAGCCAATCATAGCTCCTCTGCCATGAACCCTTTTCAACCTGTTGTCTAATCCCTAATTTGCGGGTCTTAGTAATTAGAATAGGGTTTCGGGCCCACTATACTATCATTTTAGTGAGGAGCCGCCAAAATAGTCTAGGTAATTATTTAGGCCCCTGCATCAACCAAATTATTCTGGCCTCTATATTACTGTATCCGTTAAACATAGTACAGGTCGCGGGTCCGGGTTCAGTGCATGGAGGGTTTCTGAAGTTGTGCTTCGGAGGGTTAGGGTCCTCGCTTCTTGCTGTTTCAGGGTTTAGGCTTCAGAGTTTCGGGTTTAGGGTTTAGGGTTGGATGTTAGCATCTTTAGGGCCATTACACGTTTAATGCTTCAGGCTCAGGGTTAGGGGAAGTCCGGGTTTCTCAAAGTTTCTGAGTTTGGCGGATTCGAGGTGCTCGAGTTGTAGTTTTTGAATGCTAGGACTTGGTGTCTACTATAGGGGCCACGATAATTACTTATATAAATATTGTTTTTTTTTTGGGGGGGGGGTCCTTATTGCAACTATAGTATAATATGCCCCCAAACCCTACTCTAACTACTAAGGCCCCTAAACCCTATAGACCCTAAACCCTATAAACCTTAGTTCGGGGCCGGGTCGCGCGGCCAGGCTTGGGTGCGAGATGCAGCGCTGCGTCAAGAGGGGCAAGCACTTGTGTATTATAGGATCCTTAAGGGGGGGTGGCTCAAGGGGGGAGGGTCCTAGGGAGCTTTAGGGAACCTAAGGGAGTACTAGGGAGAATTGGGGAATACTGGGTCATATACCCCCCTGAGAACCCCCTCCCTTCAGGATTCCATAAGTGTAGCAGTTCCGACTTGTAGATTCGTAGCCTTTCAAATCACCTTCATGGGGTTTCAAAGGGCTAATATTAATATACGGACCTTAATAGCTAGAATAGGGTTTTGGGGTTCCTTTTGATCATTTATCATTGTAGTATAGTATACTCCAAAACCATATTAAAATTATTAAGGGCGCTATACATTACCTTAAGGGTCCTTAACCCTGGGATCCTTCCACACCTACTTTATATACCCTATACGTACCCTAAGAAGCGTCCCTAGAAAGGCCTAGGGGTCCACCCTGAACCCTAAACCCTAATCCCTAAACCCGAAACCCGAAACCCTAAACCCTAAACCCTAAACCCTAATCCATACTAGGGGCCCACACTTCTAACCTCAGATGGAAGCTGCCTTCCGACCCCAGGAGCTTCACAAGCAGAGCTTTGCCAGGCGCACGGTTTAGGGTTTAGGGTTTGGTTTAGGGTTTAGGGTTTAGGGTTACTAGGTTTATAGGGTTTAGGGTTTAGG